TCAACTATGAAATGACAGTTTTTATTATGCTTTACCCTCTCAAAAAGGTGAATGTAGAAAGGGCTGTCTGGGGAGGGAAGATCCAAAGTTGAAATGTCCCCAATAACAGTGTACATGGGCTTGACTCTCCCACAGATGGGCTGTGAGCTTCTAGGTGTGGTTCTATGGTCACTATAGCTCTCAGCTTTGTGAGCAAGACCACGGTAAGGTTAAAAAGTAAAGTTAATTAGGAAATAATAACTGAAGAGTCTAAATTCTGACCTGTACTTTAAAGTCAAGGGGTAGAAAGTACGGTCAGTCCTCCATACCTGCAAGGCTCTGTAGCCAAAGATTCAACCAACCAGTAATAAAACTATATAAATAGAACAAAAACAAAAACTACAATAAAACAAATAAACACCAAAAGCAAAACTGTGCACAGATTGAACATGTACACCTTTTCTTTTTGATCGCTTCAAAAACACAGTGATGCCAATTTCTGCAGAATTTGGTATTCAAGACAGGTCCTATAGGCAGTAACCATGGACACCCAATGAACACTGCACAGGAAGCACTCATTGAAACTAAACATGGCTCCAGAGCAGGGCTTCTCAAATGTGTTCTTATCCACCCAGGATAACACATCATTGTGTCTCTTTCACAGAAAAACACACCTCAAGAGGCAGAGGGAGGCAGGTCTTGCACATGGCAATGACTCAAAGAATAGAGAGCAAGTAAAAAATATTTAAAATATATTTTTCTCTAGGCTGACAAATGAATTTATAGAAGAATTATGAAATTAAAGCACGCTACACTGCAAGGTGTTCTCTTCCCTCTATTCTAAAAGAGGAAAAATAGAGGACAGAGGCAAAAAGCACCATCAGATTGGTCCTGACTTCCTAGGGCCAGGAGAGTGTAGGGTAGCAATTACCTTTCAAGAGCTGTAGATGAACATTAATTACTACAGGAATGCTACTATTTCTAGGCGACTGTGTTGGGAAGCAAGAAGAAGCTCCTGCATTTCAGTTTTCTAATTAATTACAAGAAGGAAGCATATTTTCCCACACATTATCTTGTAGGCTTGTTCTTTTGACCATTGAAAACTGTCCAGGAAACAGATGGCAATGTCTTATTAAAGTCTGTGCTATTATCAGAGTAAGACTGTGGAGGATAAGGACTCATCTTCTCGTACCTGATTTGCCCATCATCTGAGCTGTCTCAGGATTTAGAGTATCCCTCACCTCCACCGACTTTCCCTCTTTTAAGAGGTGCTTTGTTTAAGAACTGCCTTAGTCATGATGCATCTTCATAGCAATAGAATAGCGACTAAGACAGCATCCAAATAATCAGAGTCCGAATACTCTCCCAACTATTTACCAAAGATCTGTGTTCTTCTGTCCTCTCATTTCTTCTCTACACTATTACAATCAACTCCCATTGATGTCTTTACTGCTAGCTCAGATTCTCTCATCTTGCTGCCCAAAGGAATTTACCTAATCCTCAGATCTGGTTGTCACTTGACGACTTGAAACCACAAAAGGGTGGCTTGGCTGTCTGTCACAAAACCCAGGATCCACACTGGAGACAACAAGCCCAGGTATGTGTGACCCTTTCTAGCCTATCAGGTCACCTGTCATCTGAGCTGCAATAGTCTGCTTGTAGCTACCTGAGCTTAGGCTGCTCTGAATGCAGCTGATCTGATACCCATGTCTGGGTGGTCCTCCGGCTAATTCTATACTCTGCACAAGCTTCTTTAACAGCAGGCTGCAAGTTACTGACAGAACTTGGGTTGTCAAATCCAAAGCTCTCACCTTTGCATTTCTAGGGCTTTGATCAATGTTGGGGAAAGAAAGCTGCAAAGGTTTAAAGGTTTTCTGGAAGCACTAAGTAAAATGAGCTTAAGAATGGGGCCTATTTGGATGTCTTGGTGTCGTAAAAAAAAAAATTGTCTGTGGTGGAGGCTGTGCAAGGAAGGGAATGGGGAAAAGCACTGTGTTCAGAGGTTATAACATAACTAGCATATCTTACAGGGAGAGAAGAAATTCAGAATAGGGGTGATAAGGGATGTGCTAGACCAAGTAGAACTTTCAAAAGTCTGAGGACTAAAGGACATGGTACACTTAATATATGACAAATGGCTGCCTTGTGTAGATGCCTTTAATCCCAGCACTGGGGAAGCCGAGGCCGGTGGGTCTCGGTGAGTTCTAGGCCTGTCAGTTACTCAGTGAGATTCTCTTTAGAGAGGTAGTGGGAGAATGACAAAGAACATAGGATGTGTGAGCGAGGCTTGCTGGTGCTGGGATGGAACCTGGGGAGGCACCCAGGGTCCACGTTATTCAAATGAAACCTAAGTACAGAATATACAAACAAAAATATATCAGTAGTATCATTACTTTAGACACCAAAACTTCAAGGTATTTTATAATATTTTTCACTACTGCTTTTTTTTTCATTTTGTTTTTGAGATGGAGGATCATGTAACCCAAACAGGCCTGGAACTTGCTGTATAAACCAGACAGGATTACAGTTGTGCCCCACCATGTCCTGGCTCCACATTGCTCTGTATTTTGGTTATCTAGCATCAGCTTCGTAACTTTAAGGTTAGCATCTCTAGAGCCTGCTTTTGATTGGCTCATAAAAACCGTATCTCATGAGGTTGCCTGAAAGAAATATGCTAATAAAGACAAAGAACAGAAAATTGCCACATGGAAGTAATCGATGGATACTCTCAGCGATCACCATAATGACAGTGTTGGGCTGGGAGAGGAGGAAGTGGCTAGTCTTGTATTCCACAGAGTACTGTAGAGGCAGACGTATTTGATGCCAAGCCAGCTTTATTTTCATGGGACATGATAATGCTGGCAGGGTTCTCAGGTTTGAGGCGCATGGTATCTGGTGACCACCAGCTTCCTGGGGAAAACACAAGTGGCATGAAGCACAGAGCACTCTCTGAATGCATGTCAGCATACAGTTGCTTGTGCTGAAGCTCAGTTGTACATTTCTTTCAGGCATCGTCTAGGATTTTGTTTACCCCTATGGATTTGGAAAACTTTTGGTGTACCGACTGGCAACTGACTAAATCCCTTCCAGAAGGAAGTAAACGGAACGGTCCTTAAGAGGCCCACTAGGCCAATGACTTAGTTTTGTTGTGAAGAAAACTGAATGCCAGAGGTCGGGGTTATGTATGCTGTGAGGGGCTGCTCCCTGCGTTTTAGACACTCTGTTCCCAGATGTGCCCTCTAGCGTGACTGACCCTCTGCTGAGACTTAGTCTGTGTTTATTCCACCCATGTTTGCTCTGGAGATAGAACATCTTCTAAACTGTGGGGAACACTCCAATATTTACTTCTTATTTCCTGTGTTCCATCAATAGTAATTACTTAGCAGTAGGTATTTACGGAAAATCCACCTGGAGGTTTAGTGTTTATACCCTCTATCCTCTCCAAAGGCAACGTCAAGAGAAACCACATTTCACTTAACCATGTGTGTAGTGGGTATGAGCTCACCAGTACAACCTACGATGTTCTCTAGCTCACAGGACAAGCAAGCTTTCTCAGCAGGCTTCTAAAATACGAATTACGGCTGGAGAGGTTTGGTGCATCTGTCCACAGACTGGGGTTGGGCATGGCCTGCCCACCACAGGCCCTTGCAGCTCAATTCTGAGCAGAGGGCGCCCCTAGATCCAGTTCTGTTTCAGGAGTTAGCTGACACCAGGACACCTAGCCCATAGCCTAGCCTAAGGGTAAAATGTCCATCATGTCGGAAATGACAAAAAGTGAAGAATCGCTTGTGAAATAATCCGAACACTTGGGGAACAAGTGTAAATAAGTAACCCATTAAAGAAAAATGTGCTGCTTTCATCAGATTCTTGTTTTCAGGAGAATGCTTTAAACTCAGAGGACTCAGGTAATTAATAAGAAGACACCACATGTCAGAAAACCACCGAGGGGGCTTCAGAAATGGTGGGTCAAAGTTTCAAAGCAGAAGCTGAGAAGGTGGGGGGCTCTGAGGTCGAGAACTTCCTAACAAGTACTATACAGGACTCATTCACAAGTAGGGGAATGGGCCAGGCATGGAAAAAAATTGGGCTGGCTTAAAAATGTAAATGAGTTTTATTGCATGAAAGTGAGGTACACACATGGCACCTCATTAATATGTGTAATTTTTGTGTGTTTACGTATAACACAAATTTAAGCTATAAATTTCCCTTTTGAAGGACTTATGCTTTTGTCCTCTTGCTGTTATAGGTCCTAGAGTCTAGAACCTGGGGGTAAGATCTCAATCCGGCGAGGCAGGATAAAGTGCCATTTTAGTTTCTGAAGGCTTAGCGACTCCTTTTACCTTGTGACACTCCTTGTATGTGTACCCCTCTCCTTCATCGTCTAATTCAGTGGTTCTCAACCTTCCTAAGGCTGTGCCCTTTTATTACAGTTCCTCAGGTTGCGGAATGATCTCTGTTGCGACTTTATAACTGTAATGTCTGAGTTTTCCAATGGTCTTAAAAGGGTCATTTGACCCAACAGGGGTTCGCGACCCACAGGTTGAGAAACTCCGCTCTAATTAGGCTACATCTGGTATGGTGAATTAAAACACCGGTATAAATGAAAGAGGTGGGGGGGGGGTTAGAGCGAGCAAGCACGCAGCTTTGTGGTCACGTGGTCCCGAGCGACCGCTTCCACTCGTATTCTCAAGGCAAGTTTCATGTATGGCACATGCTCGCTTGTCCTAACTTTTCTCACGCCCACCGTTTCGTACCGCAGAAACAAGACACTGACCTAAGGTCCTAAAGCACTAACTTGGGTGTCAGTCAGCTCAGGGAAGACGTCCCAGGACTTGAAGGGCAAGCCCTTGGCTCCTCCCCTGACGGGCTCTGAGGGTCACACCTGGGGTGGACAGTTGCACGTGGGGGGGGGGGGTCAGGACAGCGGATCCTGTCACTAACGCAAGCTGTGAGCGTCTGTACCGCGACCCCTGAAGACAGACTTGGGCACCCCATTCCCGGCCATCCCCCCGCCGGGTCACCTGTAATTGTAGGCGCTGAAATGCTTGCTCTCTCTCAGCATCGCCCGGTACAGATCTAACACTTGTGCGCGGCTGGAGGCTGCCATGTTGGAAACAAACAAAAAACTTAAGACCAAAACCAACAAGTCCTTCTTAGAGGAGGTCCTGACTTTAACCGAAGTCAAATGCCGAACGATGCAAATAGCACGCTGGAAAGCAGAAGCAGCGGCTCGGCCTGGCTCGAGGCCTGGGGAGCGTCCCACGCGCGCGGGGAGGCGGCGCAGGCAGGGCGGCGGGCAGCTAAGGGGAGGCGCCCGCGTCC